ATTGCGCTGCCAGCAGTGGCAGCAGCAGAGGTGTAATGGGGGTGTCACCTTCCCAATTGCCCGGTGGCCTCCCGCCCCTGAGGGCTCCCAGATTGTGAGAGGGGCAGGCTGGGCTGAGGTGCCCGCCCCCCCCCCCCCCGCCCCCTCAGTGCATGAATTAAATAAGAAAGATGAAATGGAGGAAATCAGTGTTTTTGCCGATGGGATTTAATTGCTGAAACAAAGTTGGTGAAGTACCAGCATGAGCATTCACCACTATAATCTTACCACTGTGCTTAGGTTTCCAAGGGGGGTGAGGGTGCAGGGGCGGGGAGCGAGAAAGGAGAGTAACAAGGTGGTGTGCTATAAACAAAAAGGTCCCATCTTCCTTTTTTTTTTTTTTTTTTTTTTACTGAAGAAGTCTTATTTTTAGAACAGTTAAGAAGCCACTAAGATACTTTCAGGTACTGTTTTCAGTGATGTTCTTTTTTTTTCAGGTAACATTCAGCCCCTACAGCTACCACAAATAAAGCAAATCCCCGTTCAAATTCTTTTCATAGTGCACCCACCAGGGAAACATTGTTTGCAAAGCCACTCATGTATCTCCAAGCTTCACCATGGCCTCGTAGTTCCTTTATTCCCACTAACTACCAAAGACTCCCGTGGAGACACTCCTCACACAGGTTTTGATTTCTAGGATTTTTTTCACCATTTTGTAGGAAGTCAGGACCCTTTTTCCCTTCTGCCCCCCTGCACTCTGAGCATATGATCCAGTCGAGTCCAAGGTTCTTTCTACCTACACAGATCATGGGTCCCTACTGGGACCCTCCATAACATTCAGCTTGGGGTGCCCAGATCCCCATCTTTTTAGGTCTCCTACTTCTCTGACCATTTTCTACATTTACTTCCTTTCTCTTGGGCATTACTCCATAAGTCAATGGGGCCAGATCCCTGATTTGTCCCGGATGATGGTGAACTAACCCTTGGTAAGAACCAAGGCTTCTCAACACTTAGGACATGCTCACGCCTCATTCCTCTTCAGTTTCTTTAGGATCTCTGACTGCCCCTCTCACACACAAGTACTCCTCTGTATTACCCCAGATTTATGTCAATTCTAGTCAGAATCTACTTCAGGGGGCTTAGTGAAAAGTTCCTGAAGGAGAAAGGGAGTTCAGGTGGCCCAAGTACGTTTCCAGGAGCTGTGGCACAGAAACATGCCTAAAATGGATTGGCAAATGAGGAAGGAAACACCTGAGCTTGGAGACTTCATGTCGCTGAGCCTGACCCAGCACCCCCAGAGCTCCTCAGATTCACTAGGTCCATCGCATTTGGGGTGACAAAGCCCTTCTTTAAAAATACCTAAATATCTTTATTTTTGCATGACTAAACGTTTTTAGAAACTTGTTATATAAAACACAGTCTGTAATGCTGATGTTTTCACTTTGTGTTTTATCTTTTCACGTGGCTGTTTTGGGTCAGGAGTGCCTTGAGAAGAGTGGGAGGAGGCTGCCCAGCACTGTCCCTCGGGCTGAAACCATAGCACCAGCCTCAGCCAAATCTCCCGCCTGAGGTAAAATGCTCACTTCCAGCTGAGGAACCCTGGACAGTGCTTGCCTGTGGTCTGCCATGCTCCTGCCTCAGCTCTTCCGTGTCAAAGACATTGCTGTCCATCCCCTGCTGAGGAAAACCAATCTAGGAGACCTCAAGGGAAGTTGCCAGAACAAGTAAAGTTCCTTCTGGAGCTCATGCATGCTCTTTGCCATGTCATACATGAAACCCACAATTAAAAGGCCAACAAGAAGACAGACCAGTGTTTCAGCACCCAAGGATAATACACTGTTTCAGGAGTGCAGAAATTTGTCCTCCCCTGTCCTGATTTTTCACTTAGAAAATGAGAATTAAAAGTAGATTACGTTTAAATAGAAAAGAAACCCTCTTATATTTCTGTCCTTATATCTTACCGAGGTGAGGTGAAAACTACTAATTCTCTCTAGAATAATGTTATTTTCACTACAAATAAAGGAATAAAAGGAACAGTGAGAAATGGAGTTAAAATGTATTTTTCCATAGATTGGCCTTTGCTTTGTCTCACACCAGGCAACTGATGCTACCCTGGGTGTCTATGAATGACTTATATGTCCAGGGCCCTGTGCCTCGAGCTGGCATACAGATGTTATGGTTCTTTCTTAAAAGCCTGAGAGGCACGAGGACCCTCTTCTTCTCTAAAATAAGTCATGACGGGTTTCCATTTTCCTAAATATATCAGAATCTCTTAGAGAAAGTGACTCCCTTTTTTGAATAAAATCACGTAACCAAAAACACAACCCAATATTATTAAAATGATTAAAGGAAAGATTTTCTTTCTTAAGATCAAATAAACATAGTCATTAAGATATATAAACCATCTTACTGCATATTGTCAATAAGAATCCAGCATTTGCCTAGAACTTTATAATTTCAAAAACAGTATTATGCATCTTTTGTCTCAATAGAACATTTGAAGATAGTTTCCCCTTCTGTCTATATGCTAAGGAGCAGAAATATATCGTGTATCAGAAGAGGGAAACTGAGCCTACAGAAGAGGACCCCTCAGAGGGATGTAACACCTTGCCAACTTAGTGCCACAGCCCACTAATCAGCCTTGTGATTTGAAATTTTATGCCCCATGTCTCTACAAATAAAAGCCCAAATGTGCACGTTCACAATCTTTCCAGTCATGCAACACCAGGGAGCTGAGACACACAACTGCCCATGTCATTTTGTACAATATTTATCCCCCAATCCATTTCCCAATGAATACTCACACTGATATGTACTTGATCTCATGGAAAGGTCCCCACCTCCAATCTGTGCATCCAGGTTCACAACCGATTCCCCACATACAGTTGTTGGAAATGTGAGGTTTATGTGGGCATTTATAACAGAACCCAGTCCTAAATCATTCCTGCATTTGAGGTTCAAAGTCAACATTATGGGATCCTGCTATCATTTCCAACTGCATTGTCCTCTGGGCTAAATTTTAAAAGCTAAAAAAATAGCTGCATCTAGTATTAAGTAAATTGGAGAACTTCAACTTCCTTGTCAGTTTTCAGCTTGCTCCCTTTGCAAAGCTGCTCTGCTTTGCATTCTGATTCACTTGTTTTGGCCCTCATCTCTTAGCAATTATTTCCATTTGTCTGGGGACTGGCCTTTTGGTCCCCTGAGAATCCCAGGCCTCTGTGGAGTAATATAACAAGAGCCTCTGTCTTCCTGGACAGGCCTTGTCTGCCGACATAGTCCCACAGGTCTCCTCTTGCATGTGGAGGTGGAGATGTATGGCCTTTTCAGAAAACCCAGACCCAAGTGTGGCAGTGTTGTGAATAGAATTTGAACCATAAAGACCCATAGGGTTTTCAGGCACTTTTAAGTCAGATTCTTCATACATTGTGTGTGCGTGTGTGTGTGTGTGGGGGGGGGGAAGGGGGGTGCACGCGTAGTGGGAGATTCTGGGGGAGGGATAAAAGATGCCTTCTGTGAATGAATATTCCACTTGTCCTTGGCAATATTTCAACAAAGATCAGTTTTGGTTATATATATCTGAAAATTGAAATTTAAAATAATTAACATATAATTCATACAATTTAATGTGATTTTAAAGATACTGGGGCAGTCTGCTTTGCAATAAATGGAGTGGTGATGACAACTGGCTGTGTCTTCAGTTCCCAAAACAGGTCCTAGCTCGCACTGCCCACGGGAGGACTCAGGAAGGCACATGAGTGATCACCTTCTCCTGGTTTCCCTGGCCGGATGACTGCTTCACCAGGGTTGCTATGACCCACGTGGCCAAAGTGCAAGTTAAAGGCAACAAAACCTTCTCCACCAGTCCTCTTCAAATTTTGATTAATATCTGACAGTAGACTGAAAATACCCTTCAGCAATCTCCATCACCCTTAGAGATTCTGAGGCACTGTACTAAGCTAAACAATGAAGAGCGAGCATTTTTTAAAATGACAAAAACAATGAAAAGGAACGATAGTTATATATTGAACATACTGTATTCCAGTTTCTGCATTTTAACATGGTAAAGATACAACATGTTAAGAAAATGGTAAAATTTAAACATGTTTTTCTTTTCTTTTCATTAAATAGACATTTTAAGTCTAAGATACAAGTTTGAGTTATCATGGGGGTAAGTTAAATTATGTGGAAAAACTACGGAACATGCCAAAATGAAAAGATTTAGGGATGGGAGTAAGGGAGGGAAAAGAGGTTGTAGCTTTACTATGATAGGTTTTTGCTCACATCTGTAAATTGAATGCAAATTTTCCTAAATTCTAGAATTGTGATGTCAAAAAGTAATTGAGGTAAATAAATCATACATCAAAATAGAATTTCAAAATATATTTCACATTTCTAGGATCACACACAGAAAAATTCCCTATAAGCATTACCTTAAAATATTTGTTATCAGAAATATAGTTTTGGGAATTAAAATAAACATTTGATAAGGTAATAGAAACATAATTAGATATGCTATACATGTGTCATTTTAACATATACTCTTTATGGTACATTTCATATAAGAATTATAAATTATTTTTACATTATTTAAAAAATTGGCAACATGAGTCCCCAGATTTAACTATTTGCCTGAGGGATTCAGATGCCCACATCCCACATTGGGAAGCCCTCACACGCCCAGATATGGGCTCCCTGCGATCTGGTCAGGCCTCTGTGAAGTTCCCCAGGATGCGGACGTGGCCCAGCAGGGAGGTGCTGGTGGAGGGGTGAGGGCTGCCCCTCAGCTCAGGGGGCCTACAGGCCACAGGCTGATTTGGGAAGGGGAGGGAGATTAGGGGTGGATAAGGAAAGCCAAACTGGAAGTTAGTTATTCTATTAAGTGATCCACTCCCCACTCTCCCTAAGAAAAGTTAAAAAAAAAAAAAATTTTTTTAATTTAAAAATCAAGTCTCAAACTTCAGTGAAGGTATTTTTTAGTAATTTCAGCCAAAAAAACCCTCAACTCTCTTCATTTCCTGCTTTTATGACCATATATCCTGAAGATAGCGTTTTTCTTCTTTTAAAGTAGCCAAAGTTTTCATTGCTTCCAGCTTATCAACTCCAACCTCTTTGCTTATTATTTCCACAAGGGTATCGTTTACATCCCTGGCCATATTCTTAGCATCTCTAGAAAAAAGAAATAATAGTACCAATGTTTAACCCAGGAATTTTTACCAAATCTTCCTTAATTCATGAATCTGAGGCGCCCCATCACTACACTTTAGTCCTCCTTCCATTTCTCCAGAAAGTCCCCAAAGGTCTCCCCGCCTGAGTCCTGTCACTCCCCCAACACCAGGCCTTCCCACAGTGACCATTCTAACACATACTGGTCACAGCTTACACTCCTCTCCTTCAAAGTCCATGTCCTGGGAGCGGCCCAAACCTTAAGTGTTGAATGAACTTCCCCTCTGGCTTCTGCTCAGCCTGGCCGTTCTCTCAATGCTCTGGCATGCCTCAGCTCTGTTCATTTACAGAAAACTGAGGTACCCCCCTCCCCAATGCCCTGCAGTCCCCTGCACAGCACTCACCATATTGTAGGCATCTGGTCACCTGCTCCCCGCCCAGGGAATGCCCTGTCTAGTGGCAGGGAGTGTATCTCATTTACCTTTGTACCCCTCATCATCTGAACAATGCCAAATACTCAGTTGGCACTTGAGTATTTGTTAAATGAAAGAAGTGTTGGACAGGACACCAGCACTCCACGAACTGAATCTGACCTGCCCCAGTAAAATGTATGTTGAAGTCATTTCGGAACTTATTTCTCATCCTGTACCTAAGCATCAAATCTCTCCTCCCTCCGTGTCTGGGTTATTACCCGATTGGCGTCTGGCTCCTCCAGTAAATGTCACTGCCTGCCCCCCCGACCTGGCACCTGAGCATGGGGGCTGCTTACCCACACACGTAAATGTAACCGTTCTCATGAAGGAGGAGCCTTGCCACCTGCTCACTGTGAAGCTGGATGTTGTCCTGCACGTACTTCACGGGGGCTTGCTCCTCCCCGGCAGGAGAGTCTCTTGAGAAGGAAACCTTCAGGTGAGTGAGGATTCCATGCTCATGGAAATGTCTGAGCTCTTCCCTGAAATACACAGGAGGTTTGTGATTTAAAGTTGAAAAGTCTGTAGTGAGAATCGCACCCGCATGGTCGAGGTGGACAATACTAGAGTTGCAGAGTACCTGAATAAATAATCCCTCTCCTGATGTCTACAGCCAAAAAACAACCACATCGCCCCATAGTGTCCGTCTGGATGCTGTTCTTGGAGTTTCTCTCTGAGTGAGAAAGAAAGGTGAGATGTTTAACTTAAGGAATATATATACAACCAATCTCTCTGTTTGGCTGGGAAATATCACCAACCAACCCAGAAAGGTCTGTAAACTCTGCCTTTGAAGTCTCTGAAAGTTCACTCACTGAAATAATTTTTTTAAAAATATATTTTTTTGATTTTTTACAGAGAGGAAGAGAGAGGGATAGAGTTAGAAACATCGATTGAGAGAGAAACATCGACCAGCTGCCTCCTGCACACCACCTACTGGAGATGTACCCGCAACCAAGGTACATGCCCCCAACTGGAATCGAACCTGGGACCTTTCAGTCCGCAGGCCAATGCTCTATCCACTGAGCCAAACCGGCCTCAGCTGAATTAACATTTTAACATTTCACTCTCCTCAGGGCACTTGGCCCTGCAGCAGACATTGCAATGAGTCAGCGTCTCTGAGCTGTAGACACTTAAGAGCTCTATGGGACATCTTAGTAACATGGAAAATGTAACCACCACATTGTGAAACTTAGACTGACTTCTACATTCAATATTAATAGCAACTTTATGAACAAAATGAGCTCTGAATTAATACACTGGAACGTGGCCCAGGGCTTGTGGAATGTCAGAAATGCTGGGCACACCAATGAGACACGCCGAGTGTGTCTGCCATCACTCTTCCGCTTTCTTAAGGTAAAATAGTAAAATGACAGCAAGATTATGTCCAAATGGCATTACTCTCATTATCTGGGGAACAGCACATAAAAACTGTTCATTATTTTACATAGGGGGAGAGAAACACAATTTTATTTATTTTATATCAAGCAGTTCTGTTCTCAGAAAAAAAATATATCCATTATTATCATTCCATTGAACATTATTGCTGTTTGGGGCTTAACTTTGAAACTTTTAGTATAATTGGCACTGTCACCACCAATTTTATCTATTTAAGGAATAGATAGGACAGTCTGCACAGCATCATTGCAGGAAGCTCTGCTGGATACGTGTCTCTAGCAGCGAGTGCCCCAAGCCACAGAGCAGCCAGGAAGACAGGAAAGTGCTGCAGTAAGAAGGGAAGCTCCAGCACAAAGTGAATCTCCAGAAGATGGCATCTTCACTTCTCCCGTGGTGACGGATTGTTATGCTATCACAAATTTGATAATAAATTTTTCAAATAAAAATTTTATAAGCAAAACCCAATATTCTAAAAATCACAGAAGAAACAAAAAAGCTCTCAGTTCTATTCCTACCTAGGACCACATGGAACCCATGTGCTTATGTGCTCACAAGCCAGCCAGCCAGTGCTTACCTATGCTGCAGGAAACCAATGAAGGGCGCTACGCCAGTTCCCGGACCCACCATGATGATGGGGATGGAGGGGTCATTTGGCAAGTGGAAAGAGTTTGCTGTGCGAGGAGAAATGGATATCTGTAACATTAAACCAAAAGTCATACATATGAAAGAAAACCTAGACAAAGCCTATAACCGATATGATATGTGCTAAGGAAATCAGCAAGTGCAAATTCCCCTAAAAGGAGCACCGTAAAATTAAACAGCAGCATTAAATCATATGTTCATGAAACCAGGAATATATTTGTCATTACAGAGAAATAAATCTGTCTTACATATTTTTATTTTCCATCCAAATCTATGCTGTTTTAAAAATGACAGGCATATTTCTGAGGTAAAACATGACTTATCTAATTCTTTTCTAGTTCCATGAATAAGATCTGTTTCCTAGCATGCCACAGATTGCATGCATTTTGGAGATAAGCAGAGACAATGAAGATATGACTTTGAGTTTGCACACTTAGGGCAATGAAGATTAACATTAATATGGGGTGAAAAGTTTTAAGTGAAAATTAAGGAACTGAAGGGGAAAGTATGAGCTTACTCTGAAGATTTAGAGATTGTGCTATGGTATGCTGGGTCCAATGTTACTTGTGTTTGTGCAAAACTAAAAGAATAAGTGATAGAGACAGTTAAAATCTTTTCACTATTTTTCTTCTAATTCATGTGCCTGAGTACTTACAAGGAATCAGTTGTAAATATACTTATTTTCAGGTTCACTTTGCCACATGCCTAAGTTTTGCTGGATGGACACTAAGAGTTAAGAACATAAGAATGGCCTCTATAGTCCAAGCTTACGACACCACTACATTCAGATAGAAATATGTCCAGTTTATTTATAAGAAATCAAATAAGATTTTCCTCTATGGGTTTTATTATTTTAAAATTTTTATTGACTTTAGAGAGGAAGAAAGAGGGATAGAGAGAGAGACATCAATTATGAGAGAGAATCATTGATCAGCTGCCTCCTGCACATCCCCTACTGGGAATCGAGCCTGCAACCCAGGCATGTGCCCTTGGCTGGAAATGAACTGGGAACCTTCAGTCCACAGACCGATGCTCTATCCACTGAGCCAAACTGGCTAGGGTACTCTACGGGGTTTAAAAGTGATCCTCCACACAGTTTCCTCACTACTAGCACTAATTCAGAATCTACACACCACGGCTGACAAAAGGGTAGGGACAGGAGCCAGAGAAACTCCTACCACTAAGACTGCAGGACATAAAATCAGTCTCTAGCTGACAACTGAGGAATTATTATTCCTAAAAGGAATTATTTGGGACACAGGTTATACAGCCTAAACATAAAATGAGGCTGTTTTCAATATTCTTCCTATGTCAATCTACCAAGAATATTCAAGGAAGTCTTCTATGAATATAAAATTCATGCTTACACATTTACAAAATGCATAGACCACTTAACAGGGAGTGAAAGCTGTGTTTTCCAACAGGGATTTAAAAATTCAAGTATGGCATAATCTAATGGATAATGGAGGGAGACAATATGTTCTTTCTAACCAGGCAAAGAACGTAATTTCAATGATGCCAACACTGCACACTTCTAGTACCTGTGGAGCCAGGGCTTTCCCACCATCTGCATGGGATGCATGCCTGTTCGGCTGAAGAACTGATTCAACCAATGTGGCCAGCCAACCCGTGCACACGCCTCTCCGAAGAACCACCGGTGTGGTGGTGGACAGAAACTCCACAATGTTAAAAACAAAGTGAAGCTTCCCTGGGTGAGACAGACTTGAGCTGCAAAGACACACATTTTTAAACACTGTTAAGACTAATACATTCAGGCCAAAATAAACTTCTTTTTAGTGCACTGAGAATACAGGGAGGGGCAAAAGTAGGTTCAGTTGTGAGTACAAGATACAGATTTTATTTTTGTGCTATTGATTAATTATTATATTATTTCTGTATGAACAACTGTAAACTACTTTTGCTCCACCCTGAGCAGGAATGTACCTTCTAACTCTTCAGAGAGAAGAACTCTGTTCCTACTTAAAAGCACCCCTTCCCCCACCCACAATTTGTGATAACATTCTGGAAAGTTTATAATAACCTGTTTGCCTTCAAGACTACATAAGATTTACATATTTTCCCCCGCTCCTCCCTACCCTCCTCCACTGTCCCAAGATGGCTAATGGGCACACAACAACGGCAGCAGGAGGAGGAGCTGGAGAAGTGGGAGCACGGCCCCACTGAAGAGCCCCTCCCCTGTGACCTCCGACTGGACACTGGTCAGCCTCATTCCTCATTATGCTGCTATTGTCCCCACAATCGGGTAAGATTTCACTGAATAAATGTGAAGGATTTGGAAGTTGGACTTTCATAACATTTTGGGAGGAATATACTATATATCATGTTAAATAACTGTACCTTGCACAAGAGTATGGTCTGGGCTGGAGCTTTGGAAGGTGTTCTAGAAAAAAATAAAAATAAGCAATCATTAATTCACAGCTACTGGAAATAAATGCTACACAAGAGATAAAAAAAAAAAAAATCCAAGTTCTCATTTTATTTTTATTTTATTTAGAATATTAAATATAATTTTAGCCCTGGCCAGTTTGGCTCAGTGGATAGAGCATCAGTTTGAGGACTGAAGGGTCCCAGTTTCAATTCTGGGCAAGGTCACAAAGTCACAGCGGAAGGCAGCTAATCAGTGATTCTCTCTCATCACTGATGTTTCTCTCTCTCTTCCCCCTTCCTCTCTAACATAAAATATATATATATATATATATTTTTAAGAAATGTTTTAGTTTTAAATAATATTTTGAAGCACATGTAAAATACTATTGGGGAAAAAAAAGAAACAATAAAATACTATTGAATATTTTTCTCCAATTCCTAAAGTAAACCAGACATACTATATTTTCTCAGTCTGAAATCAATATTTCTACCTAAAGGCTGTTATAGAATAGGATTCATGAGTGCAGGTGAGGGTCAAGGAACCATTAAATTTTCTGAGTGTATGTGTGAAGCTTTCTGGGGGGAGTGTTCAATTTTCAGATTTGAAATACAATTATGACCCCAGAAAGATTAAAGACCACTATTTTACAAATTATGGGAACTACTGAGGCTTAAAGTACTTTTCCTTCTTATATTTATATTATAGTTTACAAAAGGGGGGGGGGTGAGATATTTACTTTAAATTAGGTTATCCAGAAATCTAGTCGTTTTAAGATACATAGGTACTCTTAAAGAAGGTTAAGATATCAGTATTTGAGCTGAAACTAGTTTGGCTCAGTGGATAGAGCATAGGCCTGCGGACTGAAAGGTCCCAGGTTCAATTCCAGTAAAGGGCATGTACCTTGGTTATGGGCATATCCCCAGTGGGGGGTGTGCAGGAGGCAACTGGTCGATGTTTCTCATTGATGTTTCTAACTCTCTATCCCTCTCTGTAAAAAATCAATAAAATATATATATTTTTAAAAATCAGTATTTGAATACCTAATCGTGCGCTATCAACCTTTGGAATTTTTCAATTTAATCTTTATAATAACTTTCAAAGTCATATTTGTAATAGTAAAAATTTTTCAATGTCATATTTGTAATAGTTACTTAGCAAAAATTTGGAAAAACCTTTCTAAAATGGCTTAGTTTTAATAAACATAAAAAGGTTTCATATAGGACTCAAATTTTTTATGTAACTACGAGGGGATCGGTGCACAAAATTCATGCACGGGAGTGTGGGGGGGGGAGAGAAGGGGACCAGATCCCTAAGCCTGACCTGTGCCCTCTCATAGTCCAGGAGAACCTCAATGGATGTCCAACTGACAGCTTAGGCCTGCCACCACCACTGTGCTCCCAGCCATGAACCCGGCTTCTGGCTGAGCGGTGCTAACCCTGTGGGAGCTACTGACCACCAGGGGGCACCTCCTGCACTGAATGTCTGTCCCCTGGTGGTCAGTGAGCAACATAGTGACCAGTCTTTCCAGGGTTGGGCCAAAGCTGGCTCTCTGACACCTCCCGAGGGGTCCCAGATTGTGAGAGGTACAGGCCAGGCTTAGGGACCCCACAATGCATGATTGGGGCTGGGGAGGGATGCAGGAGATGGCCAGCTAGGGAGAGACCACAGGAGGGCTCCAGGATGTGTCCAGCCCATCTTACTCAGTCCCGATCAGCAGGACCCCAGCAGCAAGCTACCTACTGGTGAGTGATTGAGTGGGCTTAGCATATCATTCACATATGCTTTGATTGGTTGAATGGTCAACTGGTCTACTGGAAACAGCATATTAGGCTTTTATTATATAGAACATAATAAATGATATATAAAAGTTTTAAAGGGTGGTTGAAAAATCTATAAAAAGAAACACTTTTCTATGATTGAGAGCTTCACAAGATTTTATATGACTTCCCTGCACATGATCTGAATGTTACCCAAGCCCTCTACTAACCTAAAAGACTCAAATAAAAAGACAGGATTGTTTGTGAACACAGAAAAAAAGAGAAGAGCACCCTTACTTGGTAACATTTTTGAGGAGGAGGAAAGAGAATAAAATACTGTGAAATAAAGTACCATAGTACAATATACATTTTCCTGCCACCAAAGACAAATGCAAATTTTAGGAATTTTATATGTATCACTACAAATTAACAGAGAGCAAATGACAAAAATTGTAAGCCCAGGGAAGTAACAGTCACAAAGACTCCACCAAAAGCCCTTTCCTCCCCTGGACCAGGTCCTCAGGGAGGATCTTCTGTGGAGTTTGAGGACTCCAATAGATGGTATAAACAAAAAACAGGACCTACTTTCATTTGAATATTCCACGGCAGGTCACCCCCCAGCTTAACATCTAGAAGCAACCTAAGTAATGCCTGTTGTACTGGAAGGACATGATGAATCCCCCCTTTCCTCTTGAAGAACCCTAAATCTGGATTTGCACACAAAGCACTTCCTGCACACTTCATCAACCACCATCAATTAAATATAATGTTCATTATTTTTTTAAATATTTTTTTTCTTAGAAAGCTTGTTTTTAGATAAAATTTGGAAAAATGCTTTCTGAAAAATAGTAAAATTAAAATACACTGAATGCTGAGCAAAGAAAAAAGAGAGAGATTTGGGGGACATCTATAATACAACAACAAAAAAAGAATGGTTATATTAAGAGAGAAAATGATGGTGACAATGCAGAAGAAAAAAGTTTGGGAGAGGGATTCTTTCTGATTTCTAGAAGGCAGTTCTGATGTCAAGGCGCCTGGAAGACAAACTGTAAGATGTTTACCTCCTGCTCACAGATCATTCAGATGTGTTCCGTATAGAATCCAAAGAGCCACATGCCAGCAGCCATTGTTCTTTAGCACCAAGAGCTGCCCTGGAACGCAGAGCCATGACCGTGATCACTCACCGAATAGGAGGCTGAGAGGAGGCTGACAGGATGGGAAGGCGAGCAGGAGGTCTAACAAGCTGGCACAGGCATCCCTCACAAAACGGTTATAATCGGCCGCTCCCTGTCGGCTGCACAGCTCCTGCAGCCTTCGCTTTTCCGCACCATCACTGGTACAGTCCACAAGGGCTCGCAGAAATGCCTGTGACCCAAGCAAAGAGAGCAGACTTAAATTTCCACACGCCTGATTATAGCTATTATACTGTCTGTTAGCATCTACCTGGGGAGGTGCCCAATTATCCAAGGAAAAGTGAGAGAGCCACTACAAGTGTGGTCAGAAAAAGAGAATTTACTTTGCTATTTGCTTTAACAACAGCCTGTTAAGAAAACCCATTTTTAGGTTCTGTTTTTTGTTTAACTTTTCTATATCCTAAACCAAACTCCTCAGTCAAAAGTATAATCTCAAATTACATGTCAGGTGTATCTGAGTAAAAATGACCAAGAAGTCTCATAACTCAACATTTTGTCTCAGTACACAACACTGTTCTTGTCTTAGCTGATGATGACAACTTAAGAGTTCTACATTTATTTGGGAGAGGGATTAACTGCTTTTGATGTGATAGGCACTGGGACAAAATGACACCTACCTAGCCCGTAAGGGTTCATGGCTTGTGAAAGCAACAGAAGTCAAGGAGTAATTAGTATGCAAGAAGCTACCTCACCTAAAGGGGCACACACAGGATGTTAGGACATCACAGAATGCAAGCCTGAGCTGAAGGCTGGCCACATGAAACCAGGGGAGTGAAGAATGCTAAACAGATGGCATGGCTACATGAGTTTAGGGACCACATGCAGTTCAATCTGGGTGCAGAGGAATGTGGACATAAGCTGAAGAGACAGAGGGTGAGAACATCCAACACTCTGCAGTATGTGGACACTGAATCACTCAGATTCATTGTAGAAAGAGGAAAATATCAACAAATAAAGCAAAAAACGAAGTCTTGAATCCAAAGTCCAAACTCTTAAAACCTAATATGCTAATAACTTGGGATTCCAAAACACAATTCCAAGCTTATCTATTCAATGGCACATACAGCTCTTACTACTCAAGGTTATTTAGGATGAAAGCACTTCAGCAAGTTATTTACATCAAATCCTATCTGAAATGCTAATGAATGATGCTACTTTTTACTCCACTGCTCAGACTCGTTTATCTTGGACTCTCTCAACAGGGTAGACTAGACTGCTACTCTTTTGGGGTCACGGGTTTCCATGGGCTCAGTTATGAATTTGCCTAAATGATCCAGAGACTAACACATCACATGGCTTTCTCAAAGTGCCAGACATGGTGCCAAACATACAACACACACTTGGGAAAGGCTGCAGAATGAATAAATATCCAAGACTCTGGAGGAATCTATGGTAAGGTAATAACATTTACCAATAACACTTTGCATCAATTTCTCAAATCAATAAAAATCCTAAATTACAGTAAGACAATGGCAATTGTAAATTCTTTAAGTTATTTTTCACTTTAGAATTACAGAAATTTTATGGCACTAAAATAGGATGTACTGCACTGTTTATAGAAAATAAACTGACAAACATTACTAAAATTTAAAATGCAAGTATTTTTAAAGTAGCAATTCTACTCCAAAAATAATATTTCAAACAGGTGGCAAAGATAAATACAGTGAAAGAATGTTTACCTGGGTTTTTAAAAACGATATACTTTTTTTTATTTCAGAGAGTAAGGGAGAGGGAGAGAAAGATACAAACATCAATGATGACAGAGAATAATTGATTGGCTGTCCCCTGTACACCCCCTACTGGGAATAGAGCCCGCAACCTGGGCATGTAGCCTTATCAGAATCCAATCTGGGACACTTCAGTATGCAGGTTGATGCTTTATTCACTGAGCCAACCATCTAGGGCCACCTGTTTGTTTGTTTTTGTGTTTATTTTTTTAATAGTGAAAAACTCAGAAGAACCACTGCCCATGATTAAGTCAGTAGTTTAATTATGATGTCATATGTTATTTTATCTCTAATAATATTTCCATGTTGTGGTATACAAACTCCTGACTTCTTTTTAAATAAAAAACCGCATGTTACAGAATGTTAAGTATGCTATAGGACCTAATTTTTTGGTTTTTGCTTTTGGCAAAACAAAATTCAAGCATTAACTCTGAGGATTTGATTATAAGGGACTTTTGCTTCTTCAGCTAGCTATTTTTGAATCTTGAATGTTTACAATGAGCATATTACTTTTGAAGTAAGAAAAAAATATATATTTACGTCCTTTAAGAAATTCTAAAGCTTTCAGCACGGTGAATTCTAAATTTGCTCAAATCATGTCTAGAATTGAACCTTTAGCTTGCTTCCCAAAGGCGACAAATGCAATAAACACATTAAAAAAAGTCATTGTTAGCTTAATAACAGCACTGTTTATGCTTACTGGTCAAAAGAGTTTGGCAAAGCACAAGTTGTAAAGTTTTACTCCTAAACATCATTTGAGGGAAATGATTAGAGGAAACCAGTTACAACATTTAAAAAAAATATAGCTCTGGGCTGAACACCGCCATCTAGTGGATAGTTCTATCTCCAAAGTCACCTAGATATCAGTGTAGCCTACCAAAACCTTTGAATACATCCTGAAGAATTCTGACTTACTATCATAATAACAATAAATATGTCCAGTTTTACAAAAAAGGAAGCTTAACAATATTAATCCGGTGACAAGTGGAGAGAGGTGGGGTAAACCTACACTCTCCAAATTTCTTGTCCTCTTTAGAGAGACAAGATGTCAATATGAAGCTGGATAACACAAGGTCATCATCTAGGGTCACTTCATCACTAATGTGCTACATCAAATTAATGTCCAGAAAAAGACTAACAAAAAACCCTATATAAGAAATATCATTTCAATAGAAAACATACAATTTAAATGTAAGCGCAATATAAAAACATTTGCCTATGACAACTGTAAAGATTCTACACACCTTTGGGAAATAATTTTGAAAGCATGCTACCCTGTTTCCCCGAAAATAAGACAGTGTCTTATATTAATTGTTGCTCCCAAAGATGCACAAGGTCTTATTTTCAGGAGATGTCTTATTTTTCCATGAAGAAGAATACGGTACACATTTATTGTTAAATGAAAATAAAGGAAATTTATTACCTGTATACAGTACGGTAGTACGGTGGTTGTCAACATAAACCAGACAAACTGTGAATCCTACAGTATCAAGAATTTACTCATTTATTCAATGACAATCATGTCATCATCTTCTGGAACATCATCATAACAATCCAATTTCTGAATTTCCTGGTGAATTTCTTGTGAAATTAATTTTCATTCTGAGATAGAGTTAGGGAGGGGCCTTATTTTCAGGGGATACCTTATATTTCACTCAGAAAGAAACCTGTAAGTAGGTCTTATTTTCGGAGGATGTCTTATTTTCGGGGAAACACGGTATTTTCTAAGCCTTCAAAGGGCAGATACCAGGTCTCTTTAATAAATTCAACAGAGCTAAGCATATTTGTAAATAGTTCCCCAAAGAAGAAAGAAAAGTACCTTTTTAGGAACTGCTCGTATTTCGATGCACCAGGTAAGAATGAACTGGAGAGAACATCTCTCGGGTATATGCTGGGGCAAGGCTGCTCCTTTTCAGGGAGACAGGAAGGTGTTCATGACACAGAAAATAAGAAGTAAAATGTTTTGCATTCCTAAAAACATAAGTAACAGTAATACCTTACATTATAGTGTTATCAAATTACAGTAAGATTTGTGACCGTTTATTCAGTCAAAAAATTTCCCCAAAATAAAAACGTACCTTACCAAAAAAATAAAAGAATTACAAATGCAACAGCTATCACAACCAAATCTAGGTATGCCAAATAAAAAAAAATTTACCCCAAACTAAGGAACAAAAAGCTAAATGTGGCAGTAGTCTATTAGCAATGTATATGATTCTCAAAAAGAATGGTAGAGTTGACTGAGCTCAAGATCAAGACTAAGAAATAACAACAAAAAAAATAGCTTCCTTTAACTACAAATAAAAGCAATAGGAAAACAACTTTTCAAAAAAGTTCATATAATAAAGAAGTTTTTCTTGTATGACATTTTAATATGTGAACTTAAAAACAAATTGTTTGTCAAAACCGGTTTGGATAGAGCGTTGGCCTGTATACTGAAGAGTCACAGGTTCGATTCCAGTCAAGGGCATGTACCTTGGTTGCAGGCACATCCCCAGTGGGGGGAGGGGTACAGGAGACAGCTGATCGATGTTTCTCTCTCATTGATGTTTCTAACTCTCTATCCCTCGCCTTTCCTCTCTGTAAAAAACTTAATAAAATATATTTTAAAAAATTGTTTATTTTTTATAGCAAAGGTGGAAATTTATTATAGAACAAGGACAGACTCCCACGTAAGGACGGGGAAGAGTCCCACAGAACGGACTCCCACGTGGGGAGAGGGAAAGGGTCCCCAAAACAATGTTTATTGCAAAAAGCAAACCAACAAATTAGCCCAACTAACCAACCTGCTTCTCTAAGACCAGTTACATTCCCCTTTAATGTCGGTAAGTGTCCAATAAGCATAAAATCCATCATCATCTCACTTTGTGACTACTCGAAGGTCAAGAATCCCGTAACACCAGCCAGAGCCTGGCATGTGGCTGATCCTCTGTGCTGAATGGGAGCCTGGGGGAGGTGCACTGGCATTTGCCACCTCTGATTGGTTGGCCCAAGGACACCTTAAGAAGGAGACATACCTTTCTTCTTGGTGTCAGCCTTAATGTTCAAGAGGACACGGTGTTCCCTTTGGTCTGAGAGCTGCAATCTGTGGAGCAGGCTCTGCACCTCGGAGTCACTGTTGGGACAGATTACGTTGAAGGCATCCCCAGGCTGGTAGGAAAAATCTGTTTTCTAGAGAAGAACCAACAAATAAATCCCAAATTAATTAAAGATTTCAGTTATGGGCAACAAATCATAGTTTGTTTGTTTTTTTATTATAATGACCATTTCAATACATAATTAGAAAAAAATGATTCTAATTGTAAAAAAAAAAAAAACTCACAAGACCAATAAACTGAATGAACGTACTTTATCAGAAGTTATTTTAAAAATGAAATTCCACATTTATCCAATATTTTGCTTTATATCATTGAGTATTTACAGAATAAAAATGAAGACCTTCCTCATTTTCTAAAGAGTAAGGGACCTCAGTAAGTAGTATGTTAGTAATCTATGTAAAAAAACCCTTCTATGAAAACATACACACACATATATACACAGGCACACACACACATTATGAACAAAAGAAACTACTCCAGGCCGTCTGTATTAGTTTTCAATTTCCTTCTGTGTTACTCTTTTCCTTTGGGGAGAAACAGAGTGGGAGAGAACACTATTCTTTCCTTCACTAGTTGACAATGTTATACCATCTGGCTGTGAACACACATGGGCTGGAGAGGAGCCCATTCCCACCGCCTATTACACAGGCCAGGGTCCTGCAGGGGGCCTCTGACCACACAGGCTCACACCCCTAGCCTGTGAGGGAGACAGACTGGACCCACCAGCTGGCCAACCCTTTGCCTCTTTATGAGGACAAAAGCATAGGACAGCAGAATACCCTTAATATTGCAAGTTGTTAAATATTCTGTATACATGAAAACATTTTATTTGACGTGTACAGAATATTTAACAGCATGGAATATTAAGAACTCTCAAAACAAATACATAAACAAAAACTTGATGCCTGTTGTATTTCTTTCTTACTGTTAGGAAACTCAAATCTATGTAAGTCTAAATGCATCCTAATTTTTTTGAAATTGCAACCCATTGCACTTCTCAGGACCTTCATCAAAATAGAGGTTTAAATTATAAGACTTGAAAGAAGTACTCAGGCATTGAGGTTTCAGGATTCTCCATCAGTTTCCTAACTTGAGTAATGGATTGGGGGATAATTGAAGAAGGGATTGTGGATGGAGTTCAGAGATAAAGTACATACTGCTTCCTGAACCTGCAGAAAATATTTATATAATAATTTCTCTGGAAAAGGGGCCAGTGATTTTTATTTTCTTTCAGAGTCTCAAAGGAATGAGAACCAGTACTGAAAAATGAATTGTCTATGACTGTGTAGTCTAAACTCTATTTCCAGCTAGCTGGCTGATCTCAGGTAATCCGATTTCTTCCAGGGCTCTTCTCATATGGAAAATACTGTTGGAATTCCATTATTCTTTCCTGGCTTAATGTGTAAGGCAACAATACTATTCTCAATCTGATTCCCCTCCAGAAGTGCTGCTCATGTTAGGCCCTCCCAGTGTGAGCAGAAAACAGGTGTGAGTGGGGAGAAGTATGATGGATTAAAGATAAAAGGCAGGTGTCCTGCCAGACTCTCCCTCTTCCTGAGTGTACAGACTATAACGCCACACAAGTCTCTCGGCACTTCTTGACAACATAACTGTGCTGAGAAATAAATTCTGCAACTTACTGAAATGTCCAATTCTACCAGAAGAGTTGTTTTTATGGCATCATTTGTAGTCAGCTGAACTGCCTTTGAAATGGGAACTTGAAAAACGGGATCCATTAAAGTCACAGATTCTTGGCTTTCCTCCTTGAGAAAGAAATGTGACATTATTAAATGCAATTTTCAAAAATACTTACCATTGCTTCACCGTGTGACTAAGGTGAGATCTATAGGATCTTATAAAATTTCCGGGCTATTTAAGTATTCTTTTCTGAGGTGAGTGACTACACACAGATCCTTCTCCATCTTTCAGAAGAGAAGCTCATCTACACTTGAAACGCCTTGTCTGTTAGACTTCAGAATTTCTGAGATATGGGTACTAGATACTAGCATCCTTATGTACATGTCTAATAGTCTTCCTAATAAGCTATGCAGAAGGAAACAGCATGCATGCATATTTTAGGGAGGTGATTCTGAAGGAAATGACTGATGTTTAAGACTGAAAGATGTCTGTCTGGATGGTCACAAGAACCTCAACTGTGGGCAGTGATGTTTAACAGAGCTTTCTCGATAACAGGAATGTTGCCTACTAGCCAATACAGGAGTCACTAGTCCCGTGTACCCACTGAACATTGGAAATATGGCGAGTGTGATTAAGAAACTGGATTCTTAATTTTATTAAATTTTCAAGAATTTAAATTTAAGTGGCCACACATGCTAGTGGTGCTTGTATTAGACAGCGCAGATCCTGTGTAACTGTAAAGAAATCCAATTCTGTATCATCTCCACACCTTGTCCAACTTGATGTTTCCAAGTTCTAATTAAAAAGCAACAAATAATCTAATAAAAATTGGGTAAAGGACCTTAATTGACATTTCTCCAAAGAGGACATACAGATGGCCAAAAGACATATGAAAAGATGCTCAATGTCACTAATCATCAGAAAAATGCAAATTAAAACCACAATGAGATATTATCTCATGGTTACCATCAATAAATCAACAAGTATTGGGGAGGATGTGGAGAAAAGGGAACTCTTGCACACTGTTGTTGGGAATGTAGATTAGTGCTACCACTATGGAAAACAGTGTGGAATTATCTCAAATAATTAAAAATGGAATATTATCTATGACCCAGCAATTCCACTTCTGGGAATATATCCAAAGAAACCAGAAGCATTAATTCAAAAGAATATATGCACCCCTATATTCACTGCAGCATTTTTTTTTAATAGCCAAGATTTGGAAGCAGCCCAATTACCTATCAGGAGATGAGTGGATAAAAAAAGCTGGGTACATTTACACAATGGAATATTACTCGGCTGTAAAAAAAGGGGAACTTTATCTTTTGAGATAGCATGGATGGCCTGGCCAGTCAGAGATAAGTACTATATGATTTCACTTATATTTGGAATTGAATGCACAAAATAAACTAGCAAACAAAGTGGAGACAGATTCACAGTTACAGAGAACAGACTGACAGCTATCAGAAGGGAGGAGATTGGAGGCTGGATGAAAAAAGGTGAAGGAATTAAGCAAAAGAAATCTCACAGACACAGAGAACGTATGGTGATTACCAGAGGGAAATGGGGTATTAGAAGAGTATAAAGGGGGAATAATTGGTGATAGAGGGAGGCTTTACTTGGGATGGTGTACACACAGTATAATATGCAAATGATGTATTATAGAACTGTAATCCTGAAACTATATAATTTTATTAACTAAAATCACCCCAATAAATTTTTATAAAGTAGAAACTTACACTTAACAACATGTAGTGAATTCATTTTGGATAAGTGGCTGCAAGGGAAGCTGGACTAGGGTCAGGGCTGACAGCCTGAATCGCAGGTATTATGTGGGGCACAGGGACATCCTCCCCTTCCCCACACCCATTTCCCTAGGTCCCTGGGTAGGCAAACCGCAGCTTGCGAGCCACATGCGGCTCTTTGGCCCCTTGAGTGTGGCTCTTCCACAAAATACCATGGCTCGGGTGAGTCTATTTTGAAGAAGTGGCGTTAGAAGAAGTTTAAGTTTAAAAAATTTGGCTCTCAGAAGAAATTTCAATTGTTGTACTGTTAATAATTGGCTCTGCTGACTAATGAGTTTGCCGACCACTGCCCTAGGTGATGGCCCCAAAAGGATGCCTCAATAAGAGAAACTTTAACAATCACTTTCCCTCTGTGTTCTTTGAGCAGAGTTACACAAGTTTTCCTTAAATAGTTGAGATTTAACACATTAAGCGCCATGTCAGTCACTGGTGATTGACAATATACTTTCCTTCTGGACCAGTCAGTCACTGGTGCTGGCAGCATATCGGTAAAACCAGATATGGCGGGCTAAACAGAAAGGAAGACAAAACAGGCTTGGTGCCTAATGTGTTAAAAATCTTTTAACCACATTCCTGATAAACAACTCTAGCCTATTTCATGACACCTACCATAAAAGGAACTCTCTTAGCAGACCCTCCTCCTACTGAAGCGACTTGTCAGATTAATCAGGGCTCATGCTGCCAAGGTCACGTCTCCATCCTTGTAGAGTGGAGATGGGGCCGCTATACCATGTCAGTGCACTCGGATCCCACCAGTCAAGGCATATATTTACTAGTCACTTGGTCTCTGAAATTTCCTACATGCTCAGGTTAAATTTCCAATGGCAGCCAATCTTTTAATGCAGAGCCAAACCCTCTTTCCTTAGTTCCCAAACCTGACTAAAATGTACTTTACTATAATTACTTCACTTAAATGATTCATAAAAATAATACAGTATCAATAAAAAAAACCCATAACCCATAGTTATTTATGTAAGAACACACTTGTTTATCTGACTGCTTTAGAAAGATACTATAAAAATACTAGAGGCCCTGCATGGATTTATGCACGGGTAGGGTTCCTCGGCTTGGCCTGCACCCGGGACCCCTCGGGAAATGTCAGAGAGCCGGGTTTAGCCCGATCTCCGCAGGCCAGGCCGAGGGACCCCCACTGGTGCATGAATCAGTGCACCAGGCCTCTAGTATGTGACTACGATCTTAGGTTAATCTCTTCCCTCCTTCTCTCTCCTTCCTTCCCCCTGAGATTCATCATTCTGTTCCATGTTTCCATGCCTGTGGTTTCCGCTCCTGTGTTGAGCATCTGCCACCTGGTGGTCAGTGTGCATCATACCTACTGGTCAGTGGGGTGATAGCTTAGGTTTTTATATATATAGATGATCCTGCCCTAGCCAGTTTGGCTCAGTGGATAGAACGTTGACCTGCAGACTGAAAGGTCCCAGATTCACTTTTGGTCAACGGCACATGCCTGGGTTGTGGGCCTGATTCGCAGTTGGGGGTGTGCAAAAGGCAATCAATCAATGATTCTCTCTCATCATTAATGTTACTGTCTCTCCTTTCCTCTTTGAAATAAATAATCCCCCCGCAAATATGATGTTAAAAAAATGCATATTATATCAGATGTTTGCAAATAGCTCTAATGTATTTGAAAGTTGTACTTAACTTGTTTCTCAAATGTCTATGTGTTTCTTCATTAAAAAGAAAATAAAGAATTACAAATCATGTTTGCAGCTTTGAGGGTGTGGTTTAAGAAAGCCCCGGTGGAACTCCAGTCAAGCATCTTAAGAAAGCAGACTTGGCTCTGCAATAACAAACTGGTTGCACTGAAAATTTACCATAAGCACACTGTAGAAAATTTCAGAAAACCATATACTGGCAGCCATGGGGAGAAGTTAGCTATTATTTCACATGAGTGTAAAAATTTACAGACCACTTTGAAATCATTTAGTCGACAGAAAAAATAGTCTAGGCAAATAAAAAGACTTACTATAGATAAAAACAGGTTTATAAGATATTATCAAGAATAATAGCCGAAATCGGTTTGGCTCAGTGGATAGAGCGTCAGCTGTGGACTGAAAGGTCCCAGGTTCGATTCCGGTCAAGGGCATGTACCTTGGTTGCAGGCACATCCCCAGTAGGGGGTATGCAAGAGGCAGCTGATCAATGTTTCTCTTTCATAGATGTTTCTAACTCTCTTTCTCCTTTCCTCTCTGTAAAAAAATCAATAAAATATATTAAAAAAAAAATAATAATAATCCCTAAAATGGAGCCTCCAGGATACCAAAATCCACACTGGAAAAGATTTTAAGGATTCCTTTAAGATTAGCTGCTGAGATAATATCCTGACTGCCCACAACAATTTTCCCTTCTCTGACTCACATCTAAAATAAGAAACCAAGAAATTAATACTCCAAAATATCAGAGAAACTGAGCTCTTAATCATTTACTTCTTCAAAGATAGAAGTAATGTAATATTACAACAGCTTCTACAGTGCATGGGGGCAGACCTTTGAGGTAAATACTCAACTCGCCACAGCAATGCAGAAGCAGCCACAGAAGCTTGTGAATGGATGGGCGTGGCTGTGAGCTTGTGAATAGATGGGCTGTGTTCCAATAAATCTCTACAAACCACAAGGGAGGTGGTGGGTTACATTTGGCCAGCAGGCCATAGATTGTTGAGTTCTGTTGTAATGTAATTAAACAAACCAAAAGAAAACAACAACAAAAACCCCCCACATCTATGGTAAGATAATACATAGAATGAAGCAAGGCTGCTTACCTGGCCAGGAGACTCATGCAAATGCACCTGTAAATATTCCGGTGGTAGAGCAGGAATATTCAGAGAGGCCTGGGAAAGTGGGGGTATTGAATGGGTAAGTGAGGACTCAAGTTCTGCTATCAAAGCACTTGACTGGTCTCTGTTCACTGCATTTTGTTCCAAAACCTCAGAATCCTTTCTTCTTGAGTCATCTAATCTGAGGAGTTCAACTTGTGATTCGATGTGTATTAATTCTGGTTTCACAGGGTCCATCCTCTGGGAGGCAGTTGATGCTGTTGTGAGAGTCACACTCATTTCTTCTATTCCTTTACTTGACACAAAATGCTTTGTGAGGGCAGCCCAGAGCCCGTCAATCCATGGCTCAACGACAAGTTCTAAACTGGTTTGGTGTAAAAAAAAAAAAAAAAAGGGAAAAAGAAACAAATACCTGAGTTATCCATTTAAATACCTAAGAATTACCCTATCAGGTGTGGCTGTTAGTTGTAGTGTCTTCCCGTACACCAAAAGGGTGGCAGGTTCAATTTCAGGTCAGAGCACACACCCAGGTTTTGAGTTTGATCCCCAATTGGGGTGCTGCAGGAGGTAACCAATGGTTTTTCTCCCTCTCTTTCTCCCGTTTTCTCTCTGAAATCAATAAAAGATAAAAATAACAAAAACATAAGAATGGGTAATGGCAGTGTCTGTTCATTTCACACTTTTGTCTCTCTCCTGAGTGAGAAAGTCAGCCGCATACTTGGTTGCCAGCCCTCTCCGCGCGTGTGCCTCTGTACCTCTGCCTTCCACAACTCCTGTGAGTATCTGTGTGCTTTTCTCTTTCCTTTAGAATTTCCACTCAGCCAGCCTTCTTGTGGTTCTGAATGATGTCCGTTTTGTCTTTTAGTTGTAATTTTGAAATTTTGTGTGAGGCAGCAGTTTATGTGTTTACCTATTCCGCCATATTGGTTTCTCTCCTAGATTAAAAATTTTTAATGCCTGATCCAATAAATGATCAGAGAAACCAAAAGCATTTAAAAAGAAGTAAAATATGGACATAATAAAAGGCTAAGGAACTATATAAGGAGTTAGGAATTAAACAGCTCACATAAGGCAATAAACATTTAATGTCAACAAAATTCTGGAAGAAAGCCCAATATGTATAAAGGGACAAAACTAAAAAGTAACATGCAAGAAAATGTGGTAGAGCTTTGTCACCATCAAAAACATGTGCATTGGGAACATGGAGAAGATTTACAGCAGTAGAGCTGCAGGCAGACCACCACAGCTGCAGGCAGTGATGGACATGAGGAGGAGTTAAGTGGAATAAAAGTGTATCTAACACATTCATACAAGGTTGTAACATGCAAAAAGGCAAGACATTGGCTGAACTTGACATTATTCGTAAACATAAATCTAGTGAGAATTAATTTAATGTATGCACCTGAAAAAAAAAAATTAAGTGTGTGTCCTTTTACCTGGCTAAAATAGTTAAAGGTTAAATGACAGAATGAGTTATAGGACCATCAACATCTATCAGATCTTTGAATACACTGTAAGAAGATTTAAAGGGTGGCAACAGGGTAGAACACTGAGTTGTAAAAGCAAGAGTAAATAGAAGTCATGAAATTGAAATTTGTATTTCTGGTGGGCATTAAGATGTAAGGGAGTGACAAGAATGTAGCCTGCAGTGAAGACCCGAATCTGCGTTCCCTATTAGTGATGCATGGCCTCACCTCCATGTAAGAGGTCCCCTCCTGTGTGCAGTAAGAGAAAGGCATACATATAGGATATTTAAGTTCCTAAACAAATTGCTGACTTTTACAAATTCCTACACATTTTAGACAAAGGTAACTGTACTGGGACATCTTTTGTAATTTAGCAGATACTTAGAAGAATGAGGCACTTAAATTCGCTACCTTTCATCATATACAATCGGGATTCCTGGAAATGACAGGAGTGCACTGCTCTTACCCCACACAATCGTCCGCATGTCCAGTGTCATAGAAATGCCGGGCACCCAGCTCCTGAAGCCGCTTGTCAATCACCTTTCCCCCATTACAGAAGTACGTGTATTCTGAATCACCCAGACCTAAAGAGCCCAAATAGGTTATCAGTGCACAATAAGCTATAGATTTAAAGAAGATTATACAAACATTTCAAACCATTCCATTCATTCCCTTTTGTTGGGAGAAGAAATATATACTTTTCTTATTTTTTCTTTGAGTAATACTAAGTATGAAATAATTTTCTTCTATTTTATAATGTAAAAGTACCAGACACATTGAAACAGTGTGTTTCAGTTTTTGGCCACTGTTAACAGAAAAAAATTTTCACATTCTTTTTTCCATCAATTGGGTGTAAAAATATGGAAATCTTAAAACAAGGATTAGGTTTAAAAAATATACAATATTTACAGACTTTTCTGATTTGGTGCAGGGTCTGCAAACTATAGCCTGTGTACAAAATACGCCTTTTTTTTTCTTTTTTGGAAATATAGTTTCACTGGCACCCAAATATATTTGTTCACATACTGTAATGGCAGCTTTCAAGCTCCCACAGCAGAGTTGAGTAGCTGTTACAGAGACCACATGGCCTGCATGCAAAGCCTAAAATACCCATCTGGGCCTTTACAAGGTTTACTGACCCCTAACCTTGAGCATCCAAGGTACATCTACAATGTAAACAATCACTGGCTACATTTCTGTTGGATAAACTAAGAATTGCTTCTATGTTTCCTGGTATGAAAATGAGCTAATATGTTCAGACTTGGTTGCAAATTTCAAAGTAACAGTTTAAATGTCTCAGTTTTTTAATCATGTCTATGTACTTTCCCAACAAAAATAGGATCCATTTATAAGTCTAAGATAAACTATAACATATGGATATAAATTAAAGCCAGTAATGACAGCATAGCCAGAGCAGGAAATATAGTACATACCTAATAACCCATACCGCAGGTGAGCAAAGAAATCACCTGGCAGCGTCTTGTCCTGTATTTTTTTCACAAATTTGCGTGCTGTGTCAGGTGGATCTCCAGTGCCCGTAGTAGAAACCACCACCACAAGAGGTGCTGTTTCAGTTTGTAGATCATACTACAAAACAAGAATGTCATGTCAGTCCTACTGCTATGTGTAGTTATGACTTAGTTTCCTGTCTTGAATCTGCCAGCAGTATTGCCTATGGCATAAGGGCAGAGAGGCACGCAGAGCATTTTCAACTTGGGAAGGAAGGCAAATTGTTCCTCTTCACTATCAGGGCACTCGGCAATCACTCCCGCAGTGTCCCAGAGAGCAAAGAACATTAGCAGTGATAAACTGGGATCATTGGTGTTTCCAAGTCTTTTTTTTTTTTTTTTTAATATATTTTTATTGATTTTTTACAGAGAGGAAGGGAGAGATAGCTAGAAACGTCGATGAAAGAGAAATACCGACCAGCTGCCTCTTGCACACCCCCTACCGGGGATGTGCCCGCAACCAACGTACATGCCCTTGACCGGAATCGAACCTGGGACCTTTCAGTCCGCAGACCAACGGTCTACCACTGAGCCAAACCGATTTCGGCTGTTTCCAAGTCTTAAAATCAAGCTTCTTCATTCAGATGTTCACCTAAATGTAAACATTGCAAAAGGAGCACTGCACTGTTTCTATTTATGACTGTATGAGCTCTACTGCTAACAAATGGCACCTAGTTTGGCTCAAATTCGCTTTACTTTTCATGCTGATTTAATAGATAAAAGTCAAAGCTCACCTGGCACTTCACAAGTTATGTAGTTAACTCTACACAGTCTGTTAAAGTAACTTCACCTTGAAAAGGACTCACATGATCTAGGAAGTAGAGAACTATCTGTTTAAACTTGGATCAAGAACTGGAGAAATGAGAAAAAAAAAAAAAAAAGAAGAAGAAGAAGAACTGGAGAAACGATTCAGCTGAGAAGATGTTACTAACTTGGTATTGAAAAACACTAACTACTCACCTAACCTTCAGATAGCTGCAGACCTAGGTAGTGAGGTGACCCAAGGGGCCAAGTCAGGATTAGTTATATGATGACCTTATTTTTGTAAGATTCAGACTGTGGCACCCATAATGTAAACCTACTTTGAAGTTACTACAGAATTACAAAACCTGCCCACTAGTGGTGTGTTCCAGGACACTCCCTGTGAGTGACTACATCAGGAGTCACCTTGGCCCTTGAATTGAATTTATAATTCTTTTGAACTAGACGTGTGGGAAAAAACAGAGCAAACTGTAAACTTGAGTGCGAGTATACTAGCAGGGCAGTTTTTGAAGTACTGAACTGAATTTGACTGCAAGCGTCTAAGGCTTCAGCTTGTGCTTATATGAAAGCCCCTGCTAGTTGCTACACCTGGATTATATAAAACAGTAAAATCTGGAGGTCTCAACAGAACTAACTGTAAGCACATAGATCTGTTAAGTTCTTATGGATTCTACTAGAGGATCGATGCACAAAATCCGTGCAATAGGGGCCTTCTTTCCCCCAGCTGCCGCCACTGGCTTTCCTCCGGCAGCTGGGACCCGGGCTTCCCTCACAGCCCTGGCTTTTGTCCAGAGAGTCATCTGGAAGAATGTCCAGTCTAATTAGTATATTACGCTTTTATTAGGATAGATGGCAGGAACTGAAAGAATGCACAATTAGTTCCTGACCTAAAGAAGCAGAGTCTTCTCCTAATCTTTACACGCCTGCTTTAAATTCTATTTCACAAAAGAATTAAGTACCCCTTCACTTGGAGGAACTCTGACACAAATGACAAGGTCTTTATTTTGGAGAAAAACAAATGGGGCCCTGAGATTCATGAAGTGGAAAGCACACATATCCGTGGGAACCCAAGCATCTCATTGTTCTCAGAGCCATCCCATGAGATAAGGCAAAAACTACTGCTTCCATGTTGGTTGAGTACGTACTTGTTTCAGTTTTTGAGACAGTTTAGTCTAATTCAAGTGGATACTTAAGTGTAAAATAAAAAAGAAAAGCTGGTAGGAATCTTAAAACTCTTGATAAAATAATTTCTGAGTATGGAAGAAAAAAGGATGAAGTCCTATTTTATTGTTTCACATCACTCCCAACCAAAATATCTTCAAAGCATAAAACAGTAAAAACCGCAGGAATAACAGCTCTTACTTTATCTGACTCACTGATGCAGTGAAGATCTGCAGAAAATCCATGGGCAGCTGCCTTTTCACATATTTCTTCTGCTATGGCCTTTGCCTGTCCTTGCTGCGTAGCATAGAGTAACAAAAACCTTCTCATCTCCTCCAGGCATACGCTATAGCTGGAGTAACTACACTGAAAATGAAACAGAGAAAAGAGGATTTTCTTTCTAATAAAGTAGTAACAAACTGCAGGTATTAGGTATTAATTCTCCCTCATAATCTTCAAAAGAAGATTCTAACAATATCCATACAAAATATGAAATACACTTCTCTGAATCTCTTTGTTAGCACTGATTCTCAAAGCGTCATAAAAAAGAGAATTTATCAAACCAAGGAGACTAGAGGAATGAAGCTCTAATTCCATGTCTCAGAAATCATTCTGGGGTTAGACGACTTGGGCTTCAATCCAGGGTCAGTCACACAGCAGAAGCGTTGGCAAGCCTCACAATGGATCTGTGCCTCTCAGCTCTCTCACCCTCTACATGGGGGTCACCACAGAAAAGCCTACTGACAAAGAGAAACAAAGCACCGAGCAATGGCTGAGACACAGCAGTGCTCCGTAAATCAGATTCCTCTTTTCTTGCTCTTTCACCAGTAAAAAGGGGAAAAGTAAAACTTTTAAAATTAAAATTGTAGGAGTCATGGGCAAAGGGCCTAAATACACACTTCTCTAAAGAGGACATACAGATGGTCAATGGACATATGAAAACATGCTCAAGTCACTGATCATCAGAGAGATGCAAATTAAAACGACAGTGAGGGATCACCTCACATGTGTCAGAATGGCTACCATCAACAAATCAGCAAATGACAAGTGCTGGCCAGGATGTGGAGAAAAGAGAACCCTAGTGCACTGCTGGTGGGAATGCAGATTGGTGTGGCCATTACAGAAAACAGTATGGAGTTTCCTTAAAAACTTAAATATGGAACTGCCATTTTTATGCGTATTCCTTTATTCCACCATTTGACCCAGTGATCCCACTTCTGGAATATATCCTAAGAAAACAGAATCACCAATCAGAAAGAATGTATGCACCCCTATGTTCATAGCAGCACAATTTACAGTAGCTAAGATCTGGAAACAGACTAAATGACCATCAGCAGGTGAGTGGATAAAAAAGCTGTGGTACATTAATACCATGGAATACTGTATAGCAGTAAAAAAGAAGAATCTCTTACCCTTTGAGACAGCATGGAGGGACCTGGAGAGTATCATGCTAAGTGAACTAAGCCAGTCAGAGAAAGACAAGTATCACATGATTGCATTTATATGGAATCTAAGTAATAAAATAAACAATGACTGAGTAGATTCAGAAACATGGAAGCGTGGAACAGAGTTTGGGATCTCGGAGGGAAGGTGGGAGGTAATCAACCAAAAACTTTGTATGTGTATATGCATAACCCATGGACACAGAAAATAGGGGGATGAAAGCCTGTGTGTGTGTGGGGGGGGGAGGGGGGGCGGAGAATAGAGGACTGGAGGGAGGTCAATGGGGGAAAAAAGGGGACATATGTTATACTTTCAACAATAAAGAATTATTTTAAAAAATTGTAGGAGTCTGGGTTCCTTCTGCTAAATAAACTAGTAATGAACTTAATAAAAGTGTTTTATTATTTAATCCAATATCAACTATAGGTAAGTGCATGTGTTATCTGTACTTAAATATGGATTGATAGAAGGCAAATACTTCTAATCCAGTCGCTAGTTTTACTAGTTCACGTCTTTCCTGAAGAGAAACCAGTAATGAAATAAAGAACACGCACAGACTTCTCCTCATACTTATTCAGTCTCTACAATGGGGGCACGGTCAATTAGTAGGGAAATAAGTTAAACTGGAACCCAAATCAAAATCTTTTTGATGAATGAACCACCAACAGTTTTATGCTCTTCTTCTGGCCAAATTAAGCAACAAAGACATAAAAAAATAAAAGAATTGTGCTAGGGAACATGTTAATAGCCACGGAATATGCTTAGGGGAACAGAACACACCTGGCACACAGCGGGTGCTCAATGAATTAACAGAATAAAGGAACGCGCGTGAATGAGTGCATATGAGGACACTGCACATTCAGGGCTCACTACCCGAGAAAGGGACAGGACCCACGCTCTTTATTTCAGCTAACCACCTGCAACCCTTCCTGGGGGCCGCGCACGGGTGTAGGAGCTTCAGAGAACAGACAGAACCTCTTCGTCCTCCAACCTCCTGGTACCGGTCCCCGCATTTCTCCGAGGCGGTTCCCTGGCAGCCGCAAAGCAAGGCCGGGCGGAGGAGCGGTGGAGCAGGACAGCTCAGCCTGCCAGGTCCACGCTCCGAACATGCCTGAGTCTCCACCGCGCCCCCACAGTGCCCTTGAACCCAGGCTATGAGGCGTTCAGAATAAAGACGCCGATCCAACAGGGGTGCACAGCCACCTGCGGGACCAGCTCCTCCGGTGCACACGCCGGGAGACCGCCCGGCCCCGGCCGCGCAGCCCGAGTTCGGCCCGCAGCCCAGCGGGGCCAGGCTTCAGATCGACCAGCGCGCGCCCTTCTCCCGATCAGGGGTCAGGGTTGGAACGCCCTGGGTTGGACGCGGAAGCCCTTACCCTCGCCGATCCGGAACCGCCTCCCCATCGGCCCGTGCTGGGTGTATAGTCCAAACAGGGGTGCAGCGACCACAGGGTACTCACGCGCGAGGGCCCAGCCGGGGACGCCCGGGGAGAGCGTGGCCCCGCCGTACCTGGCTCCAGCGCCTGCGCACACAGTCGCGGCGCGCGCTCGTCGTCCAAACCAATGCGCGCGGAGAGCTCGGGAGGAGCTGGGCCAATCACAGTGCGCCGGGCTTGGAGGGGGTGTGGCTTTCTGTCCCCGCGCATGCGCCGGACAGCTCGGGCCCTCCACGGCGTGCGAAGTGGAGGCCGACCGGCCAGAGCTTCTCCGACTCCCGAGGGCTGAGCTGAGCTCGGTAGGTGTCCGCGCGGGTGCAGGGCTTGGTTTTTAAGCCCCGTGTCCTTGCTGAGACTCCGGTGCTGCACTGGCCTGCCCTGCCCTCTCAGGCCGCCGCGCCCGGCCGGTGCTGGAGCGCAGGTCCCAGGGACGCCGGGTTTGGGGGCGCCAGGCTCTGGGGTCCTTTTATTCCGGGAGGACGCGGCGCCCGTCCCCTCTTGCCCTGCACATTCGTTTTCTTAAATCCACAGCGGGGCGTTTAGATCTGGACCTCCCCTTATTGACTTGCATGGTTGTACCTTTTTTTTATTCATTTCTTTATTTGCCGTTTGCCAGCCTGGACCATATTCTTCCTCAATCCTAGCTCCCAGGGGGAACCAAAACCGCGGGAGCTTTTAAGCGCCTTTAAAAATTTTTTTGCTTTATTATCTTTGAGCAATGCAGGCATTAGGGGCACCGACACCCTGCTCCCCCCGTCCCCCCTCATGGATTGGAAAATCTGGTATAACTTTTGACTCGCCCAAAACTTAATTGTAGTGGGCCCTCCGCACCCGGGGATTCCCAGCTCTGATGAAAAACACATATTAAACCAGACGCAGTTCCTTCCATCCATCAACTTATAGGACGTGTGTTTATGTCTACACTTTGAATCCATCCAGGCTCTGCCACTCACTAGCTGTGTATACTGGACACAGTTACTTTTTTGTGCTTTAAGTGTCCTCACCTATGAAATGATGATGAACATGCTTAATTTATTGTGCTGTTAAGAGCATTGATTTCGTATTCGGAAAGCACAACAGTACCAGGCAAATTACTAGATGACAGCCAATTTTCTAAGGGGCACTACTTTTCTAGAACTTAGGTTTTGCTGGGAAATGTTTATTAATCACTTATTTGGGGTACTCTTCCTTAGTTCCAAAAGTATTGATGTTGAATGAGGCATGCTCTCTCTATATTTGATCATGTTTTTTTATTCCTATATTTAGTTACAAATCAAGAGTTGAGAATCCAATGGCATGGCTTTAATCACCTTGCGGAGGAATCTTTGTCATTTCTCTGATTTTCGGATAAATGGAGCTTTGGGTGCTCTGAAAAACCAACCTGTACATCATGTTCACAACGCAGTCAAGGGACATCTGTACCCATGGTTCTTCTGCTCACTACAACCTGGGCCTTTCAGGGTCAGGTTCCATCATGCCTGCTGTAAAAAATTCCATTCAGAAAACGGAAATGACCTGCGTCCAGTTGGTGAGCCAGTGTTCCCTCCAGTTCAGGATTGGGACAGTTTTGAACAAAATCTCGAGCACATGGACGAACAGGTCTTTTACAGGAGACTGAACAACTGCACTTCACCAGAAGAGGTGCTGGGTTTCATAAGCACTCTGCAAACGTTGCCTGATACGATGGCAGCAGGAGCCTTACAACGGATTTGCGAAGTGGGAGAAAAAGATGGTGATGAAAGGCTGCCAAAGGAAATAATAGACAATCCTGTCTTTCAAGCTTTGTGTGTTCAGTTTGAACAGGAACCCTCCAATCTGTCAAACACCAGTTTGGTGACTGCTTTGCAAGCCTTGACTTTGTTGTGTGTGGATCCCCAAAGTAACTTGTTACTGACCCTGGTGGCAGAATGCCAACATCGGGTCAAAAGGGGCAGCCTGGAAGTCCACAGTCTTTGTGTTCTTGCAGAAAGTCTGCTTAAACTAGAAGGTCCAGGTTGTACCACCCTAGGCCTGATTATATATCAACTGCAGCATGAAAAATTGGAAGATTTTACCCCTGAGGATATCGTGGCCCTTTATAGGATACTGCAGGCATGTCCTGAAAAGGTGGACCAACACCAGACATTTCTAAATAAGATAAACAGCTTTTCTCTGTCAATAGTGTACACTCTGAGTCCTAAATCAATAAGCCAAATGCTCACTGCCCTCGTGGTTCTCGATCAAACTCACGCACTTCCTCTGGTTATAAAATTGGCTAAATACGTGGTGAGGCATATCCCTTATTTCACTGATAAAGAGCTTGGAAAAGTCTTAGAGGCTTTCATATACTTTGGGCACCATGACCGGTTTTTTATAACAGCCCTGGAGCAGCACGTAGTGTCGCTGTGTCTCACTTTGGACCCCGAGATTGTCAGCAAAGTCATGGAGTACTGCAGCAGAAAACGGATCCTT